CGGAACATTTTCGTCACCACGTGCTGTTAATTCTAAAAATATATTAAAAGCCGATTAAAAGTTACGCTAAATGATGGTTTTGCGTGAAATATTATTAAAAACTGTTTTTGTTAAGGTAACCATCAGCAGCAATAAAAGTTTACAATTAGGAATCAGAAGTGTAAGATTGGTAAACACAAGTTTTTGATCATTTAATGAAAAAACCCTAATATAATGCAGAAATCAGGAAAATCGAGATAGAAGTGCAACCTCTCCCCCCTCAAAATTAGAAATAAAAAAAAAAACAATGTGGAAAGCTTAGTACCATGTCCAACATGTCCATTCTCAACAGCATGATCATCGATATCCACTTCTTTAACATTGAAAGCTTGAGTTTGAGCCCTACTGTATTCTTGGCGAGCTCGAGCCGCTTCAACTTCTTTCTGCAAGCGAGCGGTCTCTGCACTCTTCGTCTGGACTTGTTCCCTCATCTCCAATACCTGTTGCTCGCGGGCTTGTATTTCCACCCTTAACCTTTCCTTTTCTTCAACACTCATTTCCCTTTCAGACTGCAGTTGTTCATTCAATTCGCGAAGTTCCCGTTCTTTAGACTCCAACTGTTCCTTAGCCAACTGAAATAAAAAAAATTTAAATCCAATTTTAATTAACCCTTTATATGAATAATTTGCTCAATTACCAACAAGATTTGAAAGGTTTTAGGTAAAACTCTTTACTTGCAACTCTCGAAGCCGTTCTTCAAGTCGACGAATCGTTTCGTGAGCTTGAGAGAGCTCACGCTGTGCTCTTTCTACTTCCTCCTTCATCCTTTCCATTCTCTCTTCGTACTCGCGCTGCTTTTGTTCAGCTGCTTCACGCGCGCTCATTTCCTGAAACAGAACTTCCACTCAATAAGAACAGTAACTCTAAAAACTCCAATATAACGCATCTAAAATAAATACAAACGTCTGAAAAAACAGACAAAATACCTTAGAGAGACGTTCCTGCTCCAGCTGACGCTGCAACCGTTCTTCCTTAGCCTGTTGTTTCATCTGCTGTACTTCAATGGTATCAGGCTTCCGTCTGCGCATATACAATTCATGATTACCCATACATAATGCCAGTATCCTCTTATTTATTCGTAAACGATGTGCGTAAAAGACGAAATCCTGAAATAGAAAGAAAAAAGAGTAAAACTTAGCCGTTAGAAAACAAAATCTCTATGAATATGAATAAATAAAAATGTATATAGAGACTAAAGAATAAGAATCGTCACTACAGAATAGTAAAAACGAACACTGGCTTTCTTGTCGATTGGTTTAATGATGAATTTTTTATCGTTGAAGGATATGTTTCTTATTTCCGACCAGGGAAAACCGACTTTCGGAGACAGCTTGTCATTCTTCTCGTACACGCTTAAGCCAAGAGCATCGACGCCCAAATACAATTCGGTACCCTTCTTATTTTTAATTTCAAAATACTAAAAAAACCGTCTTCAATGGTATGACTATTATGATTATGAACTACTACTGTCAAAAATGCCACAGCTTTCTGAAAGACCTCTGTTCCTCTCAAACAGTTTTTTGAAAAAGAATGTTAACGATGAACATAAAAAGCTCAAAAGTCACCAAGTAAAAATTTCAAGTCCAAAAAAATATTTTTTCCTTAAGATGTTTTACATATAAACGACGTGAGGAAACTATAGAAGTCGAGAAAAAAAAACAGAGATACTGACAACTCATTGTAGTTAGAAAGAAAAATACCAAAATTGTTTCCAAAAAAAATAACAATAACGCAAATAATGTGCAATAGATAAAACAAATAACATTCAACTGTCCAAACAATTTCACAGTGGGAAGGAACAAAGAATATACGCAATTACACTGAAAACGCTGCGTGAGCAGACACTTAGCAAGCAAAATAGAAACTGGAAAATTTCTGGAGCAAGATAAACAGAATATCACTTACATTGACACCATACATTTCTAAATCCTGGGCGATCTTCAAATACTCCAACATCGCCTGCTCCCTAGTGGTATTTTTATGGTCTGCCCACCATACCATGATGCGCTTTTCCCATTCTTCTGGGCTGAAACATCAGTGAGTATATGGACAAGTTGAAGATAAAAATGATTTCGAAACAAAAACAAGGGCTAACAACTGAAGAGTAGACGACCTCGAAAAAATAAACATTAACTGACCAGAAGTGTTGCGCGAAAACCCCTTGCAACAACATGTATACCGCAAATAATTAATGAACAAAGTAGCTTGAGAGATAAAATTTCAAAAAGCTCTACCTGCTAATACACAGAAAAGAAATGTGGGAAAAAATTACGTGTAATCAAAGAAACTAAAGAACAAACAGAATGAGAAATTTAAAAAAGCTCAAAATGTCCAAACCTATAAATTTAAAAAAACCTATAGGCTACGATGCAATTAAAAATGACCCCAGTATAAACTCATTCCAAAGAATAACTCGGATTCAGGATACTAACAGTAAGTTGAATACAAGTAAAAAAGTAACCTCAGTTTGAACTGGCTAATAACCCTTTGCGGTAACAGCCGATCTGATGTGAGGCAGCCTGGTTTATGAGTTTCTGGAGAGTAATCACCATACTTCGCTTGCATTGCAAAAGATGCCAAAAGCACTGAAGTTTCCGGCGGACAATACACTTCATCCGAAAGAATTGCATCTTTTACTTGTAAGTAAAATAATCTCTGTAAGAAAAGAAAGACATTAAAAATTGTGCATTTAGGATGAAAGCAGAGAACTTAAAACGGATAAATGTAAAGAACTCAAAATTTTTTATGTACAGAAAAACTTCCCGCTGTGACCTAATAAATATTCATTAAAATATCTGAAAGATTACTAAAGTAATATCTTGAATAATTTCTTCCTGCACGTCTTCTGGATAAAATTTGGCACGGAACTTAAAGAGAAGTGTCTGTTCTCTTTTCACATCTTGCACTACAACCTAAAAGTATAAAGTATTACTAATGAAGTACACAATCGAAACTGCTGATAAGAAGTCTGCACGCATAATGCGAATATATAAAAGTTTGTAAACAACTTAGATTGTACTATGCAACCTATTATTATAAACAATCATTGAGACTGTTATAACTGAAATTCCAAAACAATTTCCTCCCAAACTCCAAAAAGCATCAAAATGAAGTAACCAACAATGGACAATTAAGAAAGACAGGACCACCTCCAAATCTACAGTACTCTAGGAAATGTTCCTAAATAGAACTGAAAATCCCTTAAAAGTTTTCTAGCTGCAAGAGGAAAATAGACTTTTTTATTGAGCTTCAACCATGTCGGGAAGCCCTTTGTGTCCGTGTACTGCAAGCCGAAGTACCAAATCTCTCGCAGACCAACAGTTTTCGCAACCTGATCAAACAGTTGTTTGCCAGTAGTCGAAGGCTGGATCGCGAATTCCAGCTCCGCGTCCATCGTGATTACCCGCACATTAATCTAAAATAAGAGTGATGTGGTAATTGATGCATTATCGTTTGAATACACACTGATAAAAAAGCTAACAACAAGGCTACCACAGAAATACTACAAACATTCTTTCAACGAATTTTACCAGAGGTCTTGAAACTATTTCACAAAATTACAATTTACCGTCTTTTTTGATGAAGACGCTTCACCACCACAGTTTAAGCACACCATATTAGCAAACTATTGTTATACATTGAAAGAAATTCATAAGATGCATGTTATTAGCAAAACAAATATCAGTGCCCCGCCTCCCACCACAAAATACTACTGAAAGCAACATTACCGCCTTCTTTGCCATTTTCCTTACTGTCCTTCGACAGAGACGCCCTCCGGCTTTGAGAGTTTTTTTTACGTTCTTAGTCCGACTTTCTAAATCAAAACACCATAAATTATTCAAGCAACAGCAAAAGCAGGAAACCTAAAAAGGCGATTTACTAGAAGAATACAACAGTTAAGTCGATAAATACGAACGATATCAATGACAGATGTCATCTCATTACTGCTTTCATTAGAAAAATTCCTTTATCAGCAAAAAATAATATTATTATGACTGTTATTCAATTTTCACTAAACTTTCTACTCTTTTCAAATACAACGATAACAAAAGAGAAGAAATACAACCCTGAACTAAAAAACATTCTCAGATAAATTGATAGCATACATCACATAACGGGTAAACAAATAAATTGGCCGTCACACATATACAAATGACTACAAGAGGCAACAATCACCGCGGAGCACAAAAAAAAATGATAATAATAATAATCGCCTAGTAAAGTTCCGGAAAAATCGACATTATGCGATGTTATGACGATCAAAGTGGTTCGAAACTGGAAAACCAGCAAAAACAACGTTCAGTATCACCAGCACGGAGGAAATGTACTAAAATTTCAGCAGCACGATAAATCATAATAACGCCATTCCTTGACTTCATGAACTAGTGCAGTCTAAAGACAGACCAGTGTGAACCACGTAGAAATCAGCTGACCACCACGCAGACTTATTACTCATATTATCCAACCTGTTATTGGGATTAAAATTTTCAAAGTGATAGAGCAATGCACGAATAATGTTTGGGAATGTGCCAAAACTTTAAACAACCACTTAAACTTAGATCTAGACTCTAAAGCAAAGAAAAAATTTTTTTTCTTGAAGAATCACACTTTTCGTTATAAAATATTATCAGATACACCGGAAAAGATGCAGATGCAGTTAATACATCAGAAGTTTAGGATCGGTTGCAAAATTAGTCTGTACGGAAAAAGCTAATAATTTGCATTCCTAAACATTTAGTCCAAGTACCACACGTAAAAAACTTGTTAAGTACTGTAAAATCCAGACATTCGATCGTTGCCGATATCTAAAAATAATGTTTAGTACCAACATCAACAGGAAAAGCCACTGTGCTAAATGAAGCACGGCTAAACTGAATAAAAACCCTGGAAGTTGCGAGTGTTGATGTAACAATGAAAATAATTTTAAGAAATGAAAAGAAACCATCTCCACCACCACCGTCATATTCACGGAATGATAAAGAAAATGTAAAAAGAATTTACAGACACTGTGGGTGACTCACAGTAGCTTTCTGAACTACAAACTTCCAAGCCTAATGTATAACGCGTCTCAATGCTGAAGTATTGCTGAAATGCAGGATACTATCATCAGAAAAAACCTAATTTCTTCCCCATGACTAATCAAACTACCACCTCAGTACTTAAATGTATGAAGTATAACTAAAGTAGCGGGATGCCGGTCCGACTACTAGTATAAAATACTTCTCTGGTTCGGAAGTCGTTCATTTCACTAGGTACTTCGATTCTTCGCCAAATCATTACCGCAGCATACTATCAACGCTACATCAATTTAAGCAGAAATTAAACTGAAAGCATTCAAATCTCCTAAGCTGAGCCGTAGAGTATTTTAAAGGGTACTGAATACAAGCTTGAGAACAACTGTAAACTAAGCCAAAAGTTTTTATAAATTGAGTGAATTTGATAAGCCTCTTTTGGATAAAATTACCCGCAGAACTGCAGCGCTTCAAAAGTTGAGGAAGTCGACAGTTTACAGAATAACAATAAACCTAAGTTCATATGCAACACTCTCCGACAAAAAATAAGTTCCATAATTTCAATTAGAGCATTCCAAACTGACCCAGCTTCGACGGTGCATTGAATATTTCGCAAAGAACGAAAATCTTAAAATTCTAAGCAAAAAATTTCACAAGACACGACAAAAGCGAATTGAATTTTCTTGCAAGAAGTAGTCGAAAATCAAGTTTTCTAGTTGTCAGCTCTTCATCATCACAGAATATCCGTGTGAGAACTGCTCCCCCAAATAACTGCTGTCGATAATAAACTACAAGCAAACGTTCAGAAACAAATGCAATTAAACAAAACAGTTGAAAATTGTTAGCACTATAAAAGCAAAAATCACAGGAAAAATGAAAAAACAAAATGCAGAAAAAACAGTAATAACAGCTTTCCCAAACTGTCAACTGTAAATGATACTCCGTAAACTTCTTGATTAAAGTGTTTAAAAATCTGCCGTTTCTGCGAATATATAGCAACAGCAATCAACTTACGGCAATTATATCTTTAAATTGGTGACGACAAAATACTTGAACAAATACGAAGTTAAAAAACAAATGTGTAATGAAATAAGGGTAAAAGTTGGCAAAATAATAGCAAAAAAACGGTCAAACAGACATAAAGTGTTGGAATGAAAATTCAAAAAATGGAAGCGTAAACGATGGTATAATAATTTCGTGTTTAGGCGAATGGCACTCTCAATCCAACTATTATATGAATCATCGTCGTTCATTAGAAATGCATACAACCACCGCAAAAATTTATACTTCAAACACTGGAACTGTAACATTACCGTCAAAATACCCGAGTGTTTGAACAACGACAACAGTAAAATGATGTCGAGCTGTAAAAGATATGTAACCAGCTCTATCACATTATCGGTCGCTGTCATCACCAAACTCCCCATTTCAGAAACTGCTAATACTCTTCATCTCCATCATCGTCTCAGAGCAATATGGAGCACAACAAACAAGTCTAAGCAGCTGAAACCAACTACACCATTCATACCTAACTTCAATTCGTGGTTCCATCTAATCAAATAACAAAAAAAACAATCATATTTCTATTTTTACTTCACAGTCGATTGCAACAACTCAAATTCCTATGCATAATAAGGTAAAAAAATATGAACTACTAAATTACTGCAACTTATACATAATGTTTATCATAAAGCAATTTCCTGAGCAAAAAAAAAAAGCAGGAAATTAAAAACTTCTACAGGGTAACAAGTACAAAATATGATGCTCTCATTCATATTGTACCAATCTAAAACTTCGAGAGCGTATCTATAGGGAAAACTAAACAGATTTTAGCAGTAAAATTTGAAGTGGTTTCAAAAAAACCTCATACATGATCAACGAAATAACCTCAAACTATATGATTAATGACTTTAAGTAAATTATCAGTTCAAATGCAAAAAGAAATTTTTTGGTAAAAAAGTACAGCTGTTAGATGTAAACCAAATGAATAGACAATGATCGAAGACCACATAGCTGTGAACATGATTCGGCGATGGTCGATGAAATTAAATCTTACTAGTCTTACCCGTATGTTCACCCAACCTCTTCTTCCTCCTCCCTTTTCTTATTGACTACGAAAAAAATTTCAAAAAAAAAAAAAAAAATTGTAGAATTAACCTTGCCCTAAGATCAACCTGGCCTTTATTTCTGATATAACGTCTACACCACCTACCAATCCTATTTTTCCGGAATAGCTTTCTTCTAGTTCCCTCTTCTTTCATCTTAGACTGACCACAAACCGTTTCATACTTTTTCGCCCTCTTTTACAGAGATAAAAAACAAAGCAAAGGAAGGAACTGTCAATTTCAAGAGTTACAACGAAAAAAAAAATATGAAGAACAAACAGCACAATGATGGCGACAAGAGCTTCTTTTAAAAAAAAGAATTTAAAAATGAGCTGAACCTTCGGCAACAATAATCATACCAACAAATCCTCCCCTCTCGTCTTTTTTAGCTTGCGCACACAGCAACCGCACAAGGCAACAGCTGTAACCAACTACCGTGCACACAGATTTCCTCTTGTTTTCCCGCTTTTTTCAGCTTCCCGCATTTCTCAACAAACGCTACAACCAGCAACAACAGAAGATTTTTTGCCAACGCAACCAGATGTAAAACTCATCGTCCTTGGGTAAGTCGGTACGACCGCAAAGTAATAAAGATAGTTGTGATGAGTACCATCTGCATCCATGTGTCTGTCTCACGCGCGTTAAGCATGCTTGGCTGTAGGTAGGAACACTGCCGTGTAAAGCGATCATCAAGAGGAAGCAGCCTTAACATGTAGTAGCTTTAAGCGATTTTGGTAAGGACAACATCAAGAAACCTGATCCTGCCTGGACAGCCCTTTTGGGGCATCCAGCAGCGAAGAACGGCAAAACTTGTGATGGAGCATGAAACAAAGTAAGCAAGCATATTTCAACCGGTTTGTGGCCGTATTCTTTTTTTTTTTTTTTTTTTTT